AAGATATTAGTGTTCAGCATGTTTGCAGGCAGTTGAGTAAAGGCTAAATGATCTCAGTGAATGTACCTGTTAGCGATTCAGAGATTCAGCAGGTACAAAAATACATTTTTAAAACACCAACGCCACCATCTGAAGAAGGCAGCAACTCCTCAAGGTTAAACACATTACAACTACACTGTTTCTCCCCTATAAGTACATTAAAACACTCTTTAAATTTAGAAACAAAAATATCATCTGTGAAAACATAATGAGTCATTTTTCTTTTTGCAAACCCGCTGAATGAACTTTGACGTTTTTCAAACTGTGCCAAATTAAATTGGAATTATTTTGGAATTAAATGACTCCTGGCTGATAAAAAGTGTTGGAATTGTTTCAGTAAAACGGGCTGTAACATAATAACCGCAGTGAATGAACTCGATCAAAGTGCGCCCTCTAAACATGATTGTTATTCTAAGCGTCTGACAACATTAAAGAAGGATCCCTTGAGACCTTTTAAAGAGGAAGATGATTTTTTTAAAACCACAATCAGCTGTTACATCAATCTTTATAAAGACACCAAATTCCATCAACAAAAAAGGTTATTTTATTGTTTTAGTTGCATGACTACAGCAAGGATTGTCACAATATCAGATTTATAACTTCCAACTAATCAAATGATATCATTATGTTTCAATACCATGGCAACTAAAATAATCATCCTCAGGCCATATATCAGATAATGTCAGGTTTTTAAATGAACAAGAATTTCAGGTTAATACCCTGCACACGGTCTAAATTACACAAATACACTGACAACTATTCAGTCGTGAAATGTTGATGATGTTTTTATGCTCTCCGGTCCAGTTCAGACTGACTGTTCAAGGTGGGATATTTACGCCCCTGTGATGTTTCTCCTTCATTATGAATGTTAAGGAGGTGTAATGGAGGATGAAGTGGTCCCACCTCTGTGCCGCCATTGGAGGTAGTAAAGGAGGCGATACAGGTGTGAGACAGGATCAGTGGAGCCAGAGGGGGAGAGCAGCCTGTGTGTGTGTGTGTGGAGCTCCTGCTGTGTCTCTACATGTCATCTTTTGTAATGCAGTAATGCAATGTGATCTCAGATAGGGACTCACCATAAAAGACGTTATGACGGCGGAGCTTCATGTGACAACCTTAATTACTGCTGCCTCAGACAAACACAACAACCTTGAGAGGACTTGATGCGATTACTTTGATACAATCGCTGTATTTGAATTATCAATTGTAGAAAACAGTTTAAAAAAAAATAAAAACTACATATCTCCAACCATTGCTGTTGTATTAGTTTAAGTTAGACCTTGTGCGGGAATTTGCCTGCAATTTTTAATAGTGAGAAACAGGAAATGACCCAGTATTAGACATCCCTGGTATCCATTTTGTTGTATTGGTTTTGATATTTTTTTAGCTTTTTGTTAAAATCGTATCAAAGCTTAGAAATCTGTGATTGTGGCGACCCTATTGGGTGCATTTACTCGAGGGATGACTTTGAATCAGTTCCACATTTTTTGTACTTTTTAGTCAATAAGACCCAAACACATGAAAAACAAAAAAAATAGGTCCCAGGTTTCAAAATACAAGAAGCAACCGAAGTACAAATTATCAGATAGTTAGGGAAGGATATGGAGGAATTCTTTAGTTGAGGCGTTTTAGTCTTGGCATAAAACCAAACATAGTAAAACAAGAAAGACGTCCAGTGAAAGTGAAATTAGTAACAGGGCTGGACGAATTAAAAGTCTCATAAAATTTTAACATCCAGGTTTTTTCTTTTTGGATCTATTTTTACAAAATAAAAAGATTTACTGGAAACTTCCAGCATTAATGATAAAAGGTCAAGGTGCTTTTTATTACTCTGTAAAGTTGTTTGAAGGAGAAAGAAAGAACAGGTGTCCGGTGTTCCCCTGTGCAGACAGACATGAGACGATCTGATCCACAACACCAAAGATTAAAAATCAACAGTCACCCTGTTTCCTTCATCTCAAGTTTTAAAGAAAAAAAAAAAGCAGGACATAAAGACGCTCTGCCACAAAGACTGAGGCGTCAAATTATCTTGAATATCCGGTTAATCAAAATTTCAAAGACACCAAAGTCAAGGTGTCCTTGAGTTTTTCTTTGGACAAAGCAGGGGGCAAGAAGACCTGCAGGAACGAGGCATCAAAGTCCCTTTCAATCTCGTCCCACTTCCTCCTCCTCTTCCTCTCCTCGCTCAGCAGCTCCCCAAGGTGGGCTCTTTGCATTTTTTCACTTGGTCGCACCGCTCAGCATTCCAGGGTGGTTAATGGAATTAAAATCAATGACAATCTCAGTCCTCTTGGGCTTGAACTGCCTGCAAGAACACACAGAGAGAAGAAACAACACACACAAAGTCACACGTGGAAAAACACAGAAGAAAAACATGCAGGAGGATGAAGGTCTTTGTCTTTATAAGTCACACTTTCATCCCTTCTGTCCCCCACACAAACACATTTTCACAATGTCAGGGGAAGTTTCAGACACAAAGAAGGAGGGGAACAAACTACATGAATAGTCTTTAAAGCCTTTTAAACAAACTAAAAGGAATTTATAACAAATGTATGTTCATGAGGAAGGTTTCATTAAATACTAAAGCCCCTTTACAGACTACTTAAACATGTGGGACATGATTAAAGCTGCATGTGCAATGTGCACTACTAATTCTTCTGGAATCACACGTCCCTCACAGCGAGAAGTTTTCCCTGTTGGACACAAAAAAGGACGAGGCTGTCTTAATGTTCAGATATCAAAGATGGCAGGCGGATCAAAGTGTGACGCTATGATGACAGTTTTTGCTTCAATATCAATGCAACATTTAATTGGACGCCTTCTCAAAAATCAACCCAAGAGTGGGAAAAAAGTAAAGAGTATAAAGCAGCTTCAATACATGCACAAAGATCAAACAGATAATAAAACGTCATCACCTGCTCCCGCCGTCGGGATGAATAATTCAGCGGTTTGTGCTCACACCTGTTTTTGTGCATGTGTGAACACAGCGATAATTAATTCAGGAACATTTAAAGTGATGATGCAAAGTACAGAAGTCATACGCTGTTTTCACATATGCACTCCTGCATTCCCTCCCATTCGCTTGCGTTAAATTCTCCAGAAAATATCTTGCGTCAACTCACTCTGACTTAATGTGGGAAAAATAGGAGCACATACAGCTCCTCCTGACAGTTCCCCGAGTTCTCTGCCAGTGTCAAAGACCTCATACTCTGGCTGTTTTATTTCCGAGTTAAGATCGGTTTCAAAAGGATTATATAAGCAACAGATCACATCCAGCACATCGGCTCACTCTCGCTTCATGCTGAAATTTTACTTTGGGGCTGGTAGGAAAAAGTCCTGGTAAAGGATTTTGTATTCACACACGCAGCTCAATCTGAGGATTTCAGGGAATTTTCTGGAGTTTTGTACATGTGAACCAGCGTAATAGACAGCTGATTCCTTGGTATTTATTATAACTAAGCATTTAAACGGAAAAGATAAAGGTTAAAAGGTCACATCACATTTCATCCTGCAAACTGGAAGAAAAAAAAAAAAAAAGGTATTTTAAAGTGATGGTGTCCTCCTCTCACTCTCCTCCTGATTGAATCCCCAAAGAGAGCTAAGATCAGAGCTAAGCTAACCCAGCTTCACCCAGCTTACGTCCGCCCACAGGAAATTGTAATGGACAGACTGGGACTCAGGCTGATCCAGAAACAGGAAATTACAGACTGTAGTGTTATCATCTAACAGAGAGCGTGCGCTGCTGACAGACCGGAGAGTCCAGAAGGACGAGGGGAGTCTGTTTTTACATCAGTGAAGCTGGCAGTTCAAACTGAGTCAGTGATGTGTCAAAATGTTTAATACTAAAATACTTTTCAATTCCAGGAGTTTTAAAACTATACAATATCTGTCAGAAGCTGCAGAGAAAGAGAGAGCAGCGGTGCTCCTTTCAAATTCAAAAGGTAAATGGCGTTTTCAATTCCTTCTGGCGTCTCATTAAGTAAAGATTTGGTGAAACAACAGTACAGAGGTTCATTACAAAGACAACACAGAAAATAGTACCTATATATCTGAGTGTTTTCTTTAAGGTAAGAAAGTAGAGTAGTTGACTCACCTGTATTGAATTCCTGCCATGCTCAGCAGCTTCCTGGAGGCGACCATCTCCGGCGTGTCGTGGTACTTATCAGAGAGATAAATCACTTCCTTTATACCTGGACAGAGGGAGGAAACAGGACTGTGAAATGTGTATCTTATTCTTTGAAGAAGAGACGTGCTTCTTCATCGGGGAAGAAAGCAGGAGGAGAGAGAACAAGATCATCAAAACTGAAGAACACTCGGTACATGCTGTTAGATTTCTTGCAGACATTCAGAGCACGGATCTTCATATTCTTTGGTGACCATGAGAAGAACAAACTTTTTAGCTTACTATTGGTGAAGCTGAAAGAATAGCAGAATCAGAGAGGTCTGCTGCGGTTCAATCTTATTTACAGACACTACAGTAAAGATAGAACTGGTTTAAATGCTGCTCTGTAAGAGTCGAGACTGACACTCATCAGTCAGAAGTCTTTAAACCCTCAAATAAAAAGAAGGACTTATGAGTTCTTAACTATCGCTCTTGACTTTTCTTCTGTAATTTTAGGACTATGTATCCTTGTTAAGCAAAGCGCTATTAAAATAAAACTTACATTTTATATCTTTGTTTTGAAGTTGAGGCAAACTACATGTTCTCAATCTGCAACAACCCAGCGCTGAACACACACATGATTCTCAAATCTTAAATTTTAAATTTAAATAAATTTAAAAAACATGGGAGGCCACGAACATACGGACAGTTTGAAGCGATTTTTAATATTAAAATCCTTCGAACGCACACACTAGACGACTCGGCCAGACTGGGGGAGACCACACATCTGCCCGTTTGTAGTAATGATCTCACAGAAACTCGAGTGATCAAACGTGATTTCAGAAGCAAAAGCAATAAGAACGATTGACATCGTCAGCTGGCTCTCCTGTTGTGTGTTTTGAAGCGAAAAACTGAAAATAAGAAGAACAATACTGACGAGATCCTGGCTGAGATGGCAGATTATGTGCAGCTTTGTACAATTTGTAGCGCGAGCTGAGGGTGAGTTGTCAGGCTACGCTAAAGCCGTGGTGATGCTTTCAAGGCTGCTTACTCTCATTGGCTGCTGCAGGTATACTGTCGGAGGCAGTCCGACCACATCGGGGAGACTCCGGCTCGATCATGAGCAGTAAATCGGGCACCAAATGGGGTCTAAAATCCTCTGGTGTGGGGCCAGCTTGAACTAGAAATATTATAAATGTGTGTTTTTGCTGTAAATACACACCTGCCTGGATGATGAGCTTGGCACACTCGTTGCAGGGAAACAGAGCCACGTACATGCTGCATCCTTTCACATCCGCACTGTTCTTGTTCATGATGGCGTTCAGCTCTGCGTGGCACACTGAGAGACACACAAAAGAAGAAGATTTTCTTTAAAATTTCTGGTAAATCATTGCAAACGAGGTCACAGATAGCTCTACAAATCATAAATAAAGCTTTGGAGAGGAGCAGGAACAAAGTATAGGAACATACCTCCTGAAGAAGAAAAATGTGATAAAAGATTCTTTAGGAGGCTGAGCATCTAAAAGGTTAGGGTACTATAAGAGAGTTAAATGTGTTAGAAGATCACTTAATTTCTGTCACACCTGAACCTGAGCACTAGGAGAGAAACATCAAGATGACCCTGAGAACAGCAAATTAATATAGACAGATTTCTTCATTTCTTATCCTCTGCCGCCCTCTTACGGCCAATTCGTGGTACTGCAGCACATATTTTATACACATACTAAAAGCCTTTATAACTGGATCATGTCCAGTGAAGAAATACTCAAAAAAATATTAGACATTTAGACATATAGACAGGGTTCTTCCTGCTCAAAGTGAGGCTGAGGTGGTACTTTGCTTTCCCTGTGTGCAAACATGCACTGAGCAAACTGGCACATTTAAAAGCTTTTTTTTTACAACTGAACAAAAATGCCTGGTTTAAAGTTAAAATCGATACAACATTAAAGCTTTTTTAACAGACTTAAAGGGAAGATATTTCATTAAATAGTTCTAAGGGGTCTGACTGTTCTCCCAGAGAACATTTTGAGCATCAAGCACCTCAGAAAATTGTGTCACAAAAACACTGTCGGACTTTGATGAGGGGAGGAATAAATATGGCCACCGCTTCATTGTATATGTAGGAAAAACTTGTAGACAGAGTGTTAAACCAAACGCACACAAAAAAGGTCTGCGACAGTCAAACACTAAAACCAATCAGATCTCACCGTAGGGATATTTAGTGTCCAGCCGGTCGTCTGCAGAGCGGGACCATGGCAGCAGGTCATCATCACAGCCGTTTGGCATCCCGTTATAACCGATCCCCACGATCTTATTCTCCTGGTTCACGATACAGGCGCCCACCTGCACACACAACACAGGTGCTACTGTTACAGGTGTTAGAGACGCTTTCTGTGGTTTCTACAAGCAGCTGTGACCAATATGCTTAGACTGATTAAAATCACATGGAGGGTATATAATCCATAAATCTTTGTAGCTCATACAGAGATGTCAGTTTTCAAACTCCTTGAAGCTTGTACAAAACAAAAAAGACATTGTGTGTGTGTGTGTGTAGTGTGTATAAACTACAGAGGGCTGTAAATCACCAGTTTCATCACGTTACCATATTATATCAATTCTTTGAACGGCAATAAGATTATTGCTTTCACACAAAGTCCACAAATATGAATGAATAGATACAATCAATCTATCGTTCAGCCCTAAATGGTTATAGATATAGCGCTTTTCTAGTCCTCTGACTACTCAAAGCACTTTTACACCTACACATTCACACACTGATGGCAGAGGTTACTATGTAAAGTGACTCACATCAGAAGTAACTAACCCCATTTATACGCATTCATACGCCGCCACCGAATCAGCGGGAGTAATTCGGGGTCAAGTGTCTCAACAAGGACACATCGGACATGTGGCAAAAGGAGCTGGGGATTGAACCCCAGACCTTCCAGTCGAGAGACTACCGGCTCTACCAAATGAGCCACAGCCACCCTCCTCCCACTACTATAGTGAAGGATGGAAAGCGAGGGGTTACCGTTTTTTTAGTCTGAATAGGATCTTGTGCAGCTATCGTATAAGGACTATATACACACATACACACACACACACACACACACACACAAACACACACACACCTGAGAACTGGGGTCTTTACTCCTCTGTGCTGACAGGAAAGCCACAGCCATGAAGTACTCGGGCCACTCCAGGTAGTCCTCTCTCTTTCTGGTCGTGCTGCTGCAGGATAAACACACAACGACACAACAGAGGTATGAAATACAACAGGACATGAATCACACTGTCTGGATTCTTATGTTTATATTTAACTTGTGTCTTCTCATGAGAAGGAGCTCAACGTATATACATTCCCAGTATGATCTTGAAAATGTCTCCTCTCTAAAAAGGCACCAGGGGAGCAGCCTGTAAAACCTGCCTGCTGTGCTTTGTGCACAAGATTTGCTCAGAAATAAATAAACGGGGCCACATTTCACTAAATTAAAATCATGGTGTATTGAAGAAGACTTGAAACTAGAGATTGAGGCAATGCACTCATTAGGAATCGTTTTACTGAGGGAATAAATCAATTTACAAGCAAGAACATTTTATCACAGACTTCTCAATCAGACTGCTTTTAACAACCAGTGGAGTCGCACCCTTCTGGACATTAGAAAGAATGCAGGTTGAGGCCAGAGACTGTACAGTTTTTAATTTGACATAATATGAACACATTTAGAATTAACATCTTTATTTGTGTATTTCATGACACTACAGTCATAAAACACACTGAATGCATAGTAAATATTTAAATGTGTGTTCTTCTACTGGACTGTGGTCCGGTTTTATTTCCGCTTTTATTAAAAATAAATGAGACACATTCTTCCTCCAACCTTACAAAAAATGTTAAGTTTACCATCGAGACTGTTTGAATGTGTAGATGCTGTTGACAGAATACTTGATAAATGTGTCAGACAGCAGGATAAAGTTGAAGTTTTTACCCGTTCAGAAGAGCAGGCTTCGTCTGCTGAACGTCCTCCATCCTTTTCCAGTTAAAACTCAGAAGTTAGTCGATGTTTTCCCTGCTTCTTCTCCTGCGACTGTGGCAGTGTTGGAGTCAGACACGCCGCACTGTCTCTTATGTCAACACGAACCCGGAAGGAAACTCCCGCGCTTTGTGAATTTGTTTTTTTTTTTAAGCCCTGAACTCTGCCTGCCAGGAACAAACAATGAAAGCTTAACTATAAAAAAAAATAAAATAAAAAAAAAAGCTCAGTTCCAACCATAGTGATACAAAAAGTGTTGCATTTACTTCCAATAATCACACACTCTGTTTAAGGGACCTAAAAACAACAGAAAAGTAGGTTTGTCCTGCCTGGTAAGGTAAACTCGGGGACATCCTTACCCGGTAATTCCAGCGTTGGTTCCATTGGTTCGCATCATCGCATACTCTTGCTGCATTCATGTAGTGTCGGACACATCGGAAAAACGAGTTGCCGGGTTGTAAAATGCACATGAACACCTGCTCAGTGCTCAAGCCGGAACAACAACTTGGTAAAGAATCCGACCTCGACCCTCTGCTGCATATCATCCCCCACTCTCACCTCCTAACATGTCCTTTCTCTCTTAAGCTGTCCTATCCACTAAACGCAAAAACTGCCCCAAAAACCACAAATAGCCTACTTTTAGCATGTGATGAAAATGGTAGGCCTAATTGTCAAATGATTATCCATTATATATTCAAAACGTTTGTTTGAGGCGTCTGGTGGTTGCGCACGCCCCATGTGTGAAGGCTGTGGTTCTCCGGCTGGTCAGCCCGGGTTTGGGCCCGGCCTGTGGCTCATTTGCCACGTGCCCCTTTGCAGCACCCGCTCTTTCTCTCTCCCCAATTTCTGACTCTACCCGTTTTCCTGTCTTTAAATAAACCTTTAAAAATGTAGGCCTATATAGGCTATTCTAAAAGTGCAGAAGCCCCGGGTGTGACAAAGAAAGCCGCAAGCAGCAAGTGTTAAACATCCGTAAAACATCAACAAGCTATTACATAATGTGTTTCTGTAAATACATCCTCTTTTATCAGATTTCATCCCATTCTCTAAAACATGAAGTCAAGGATCAGTCATCTGGAGCATTTTGAACATGTTACCGTTCAGTATGTCAATCATTTTTCAAAAATGGAAGACAGATCAAATAGATTTTTCATTGAAAGAAAACAACCTGAACTAAATCATCCTGTTTACATGATGAAAGGAGAAACACATTTTAACAAGCTGCAGTTTAAAGAGTGAAGAATTTTATTGTTTGGAGGACTGATCTTTTTTTTTTTTTCTTTTTTTTCTAACTGTAGGCCTAAATGTAATTTAATTCAAACAATATTTGTTCTTTAGAAGTTAGAATCACGTTTAGGTATTGTCCAGTTTATTAATCATAAAACACCAAAAACAAGCAGATAGATACATTTAATAAAAATACAATTTTAATATGAAATCAACAGAAAAGCGTGTGCTTAAGTTTGACGTTATTTTTTGTGATGATTTATTTAATACAAAATATTGATTGTAATTGAGTAATAAATTATATTTTGATGTTTCACTTACAAAAACTTTGACCAATGTGACTCAGATTTTTTATTTAGAAAACCTCTTCTAGGAAGATTGAGACAATAAAGTCGATATCTTTACTCTAAAGTTCTCAGAGGAGATTTAAAGGTGCGAGCAGGTGTTGACTTCAGTTCTACATTGAAGGTATTGAGGTGAACTTGTTTTCACTGTGTACCGGTAATCGGAAAACAAAGATGTTAACTTGCAGTTCATTCTGTCAATTAATAACTGAAGGTGTTGGCAGAAAAAACATACAACAGAACCTTAAAAGTGAGGGTCATTTTGTTGTTATTGATAGATATTGAAGATATTTATTGGATATCAAAACACGTTACAAAAATGAGAATCGAACACCAGGCGGAAGACAAACCACAGATATAAGGAATATTTAAAGTAAAGAATATAAACGAAAAGAAAAAAAACAAGACACCAAATTCCATGAACACATTTTTTCATTTTATTGTTTTAGTTGCATGACTACAACAAGGACTGTCACAATATCAGAATCATAACTTCCATACAAGTCTAGTAAAAATCAAATGATATCATTATGTTTCAATACCATGGCAACTAAAATAATCATCCTCAGGCCATATATCAGATAATGTCGGGTTTTTAATGAACAAGAATTTCAGGTTAATACCCTGCACACGGTCTAAATTACACAAATACACTGACAACTATTCAGTACTGAAATGTTGACGATGTTTTTATGCTCTCCGGTCCAGTTCAGACTGACTGTTCAAGGTGGGATATTTACGCCCCTGTGATGTTTCTCCTTCATTATGAATGTTAAGGAGGTGTAATGGAGGACGAAGTGGTCCCACCTCTGTGCCGCCATTGGAGGTAGTAAAGGAGGCGATACAGGTGTGAGACAGGATCAGTGGAGCCAGAGGGGGAGAGCAGCCTGTGTGTGTGTGTCTGTTTGTATCTTTGAAATCGTTTCTTCAAACGGCAGGTGTGTGGTCTCCCCCGCTCTGGCAGAGTCGTCTAGTGTGCGCGTTCTGAGGATTATAATATTAAAAATCCCTAGAAACTGTATGTCTGTGTTTTTAAAATCAGTTAAGAATTTGAAATCGTCTAGTGTGTGGCCATCTTTAGTTGCATAAAACCAAACAATAAAACAAAAATCACATTCAGTGGAAATGAACTTTGTCACTTTTTGTGCCTTGACAGCAAGCTTAAAATCTACCCGTTTCCAAAATAAAAAGATTTACTGAAAACTTCCAGCGTTAACGTTAAAGGTCCCATAAATTAATTTCAAAGTGCCTTGTTTGAAGGAGAAAGAAAAGCAGGTGTCAGGTGTTCCCCTGTGCAGACAGACGGGAGCGTGCCTATGTTCCCACATTTCATTTTTCATAAATTTGTATCAGATTTTATCCCCCTTTCTTCCAATTTGGTAGCCAATTACACCCAATCTATTATCCAGTAGCAATGGACTACGTATGGAATGTAGCTTTTAGCTAAATCTGGTGCACCCATCTCTTTGTTTATTGCAAACATTTAATGTAAGTGCACATTGTCCTTTTAAATAAACAAACTAAACTAAGTAGCACAGAGGCCTCGCATTGACTAGCTTCCAGTCAGATCAGTCGAAAGAAGCGCAGCAACTGGACGCAAACCATAGTTTGCAGTGCATCAATACCTCTGGAAAGCCAGGTTGGCATAGAGAGGGGGTGCTCCTGGGATGCTTGGAGTCACTTTCCAGCCCTCTGGAGGCGTCATAGGCTCATGGATAGAAATGTGGGAACATAAGGCCTAATTTTCAGTGAAATTTTTTTTTTTTTTAGAAATGTGGGAACATAGAGCTGTGGGACCATTGGGCTGTGGGAACATAGAGCTGTGGGACCATTGGGCTGTGGGAACATAGAGCTGTGGGACCATTGGGCTGTGGGAACATAGAGCTGTGGGACCATTGGACTGTGGGAACATAGGCTGTGGGACCATTGGACTGTGGGAACATAGAGCTGTGGGACCATTGGGCTGTGGGAACATAGGGCTGACCCCCTGACGGACATGAGACGATCTGATCCACAAAGATTAAAAATCAACAGCCCCCCTGTTTCCTTCACCCCTAAGTGATTTTTAAAGAAAAAAAGCAGGACATATAGACCCTCCACCACAGACCGTAAAATTATCTTGAATCAAAATATCAAAAGACACCAAAGTTGAGGTGCCCTTGAGTTTTTCTTTGGACAAAGCAGGGGGCACCTGCACCTGAAGACCTGCAGGAACGAGGCATCAAAGTCCCTTTCAGTCTCCTCCTCTTTCCCCTCTTCCTCTCCTCGTTCAGCAGCTCCCCTAAGTGGGCCGTTTCCTTTATGTCTCTTGGGTCGGTTGGCTTGACACTTAACTGTTGTTATTGGAAATCAATGACAATCTCAGTCCCCTCGAGCTCGAACGGCCTGCAAGAACACACAGAGAGAAGAAAACAACACACACACACAAAGTCACACGTGGAAAAACAGAGAAGACATGCAAAAAGATGCATTGCACCCATATTTAAAATTTCTGCACACTCAATTGAATGGAGGCACCGGTGTTCACCATGGACCACATGCAGGACCCATAACATCTATTTCACATTGCTGTTGCCGGTCACTGTAGCTGCACCCCCTTTAATCTCAGATGCATCCCAAGTCCTTTTGTTCTAGATCCAGGGCTACTTTACATAAATGTGACGTTTAATATAACATATTCTCAGAAAGAGTGCAGAAAAGAGTATAAAGCAGCTTCATTACGTGCAGACAAAGATCAAACAAGTAATGTAAATGTCATCACCTGCTCCCGCTCGCTGGCGGTGAATTTTACAGAATATTTCTTGAACATTTTAAACATCAGCTCATTGCTAAGAGGCTTGCATGACAAACTCTGGGTAAAGTCAGGGTGAATAGTTCAGCTGTTTGTTGTTCACACATACAGCTCACCTGTTTGGTGCATGTGTGAACACAGCAATAATGAATTCAGGAACATTTAAAGTGATGATGCAAAGGACAGAAGTAGCTGTTTTTAGATATGCACTCCTTTTTAAAAACTTTTTAGAGACAATACACTTACGATACAACACAAGAGACAATTACAGTGAGCACAGGCCAGAAAAGGGGTATATTCATGTTTTACTTGAGGTTAAAGATTTTACTGAGGTGCTCAAATTGGATGTTCGTGGCTATCTCAACGAACCGCAATATAGTGGCGAGGCAGTTGCTGCAACCGCCACAGACGAGTGCGTTCTGGGAGTTGGTGTCTTTCATCCACATGAGCCAAAAAAACACTTTCTGCCTTTTCTCGGTCAAGAAGGCACCCACCTTCAAAATGTATTTCACATTTCTACTACATGTATGACCTAATGTCAATACAGATTCACGTTTCAACGGGTGAAGTATCCCTTTAACAAGTTGGCACAGGTGATGAAAGTTTAGAAAAGATTTGGTGCAACAAAAGAGATCCATTACAAAGACAACATAAAAAAATAGTACTCATGTATCTGAGTGTTGTTCTTTCAGGTAAGAAAGCAGAATAGTTGACTTACCTGAGCTTAATTCCTGCCCCCTCCAGCATCCTTCTGGAGGCTTTAAACTCATCCCTGTCTTTGTACATATCAGAGAGATAAATCACTTCCTTTATACCTGGACAGAGGGAGGAAACAGGACTGTAAAATTTTGTTTTACTGTGTGGTGCAATCATATTTACAGGTACTTTAAAAATAAAAAAATGTTTTTAATGTTAACACACACCTCCCTGGATGATGAGCTTGGCACACTCGTTGCAGGGAAACAGAGCCACGTACATGCTGCATCCTTTCACATCCGCACCGTTAGTGTTCATGATGGCGTTCAGCTCTGCGTGGCACACTGAGAGACACACAAAAGAAGAAGACTTTAAACTTGCTGGTAAATCATTGCAAACAAGGACACGGATAGCTCTAGCTACAGGTCTTAAATGAAAGCTTTGGAGAGAAGCAGGAACAAAGTATGGGAACATTATCTCCTGAAGAAGAAGAAAAATATGATAAAAGATTCTTTAGGAAACAGTTTTACAATGAAATCTAATACGTCAACAAAACTTAAGACCTGCAAACTCACTTTAATATGTGACTCAAATGATTTTACAGCCTTTCTCTTTCAAACAAGTGAGAACAAAGTTTAAGCAAACTGCGAGTAAGACTCAGAAATAGTTATATAATCTGTAAACTGTTTGAATTGACTTTAAAATGTGTTGTCTGAATTACTCAACAAACATAATTCGACGCGTTTAGATCTTCTGAGAGATAAAGGAGAAACAGACTTGGATGAACCAATTTCAGAAGCAGTTTGGCACAAAATAATAGTCAATTTTCTCCCCTTCTATATGTCTTAGACATGCTGTTATTCAATTCAAAATTGCACACGGTCTACATTGGTCTAAAGCCAGGCTTTCTAAGATAAATGCAGACATAGATCCCACATGTGAGCGATGCAAGCGGGCGCCAGCCACTCTGTTACATATGTTTAGGACATGCCCAAAACTCACATTTTGGCAAACCATCTTTGAGACTTTCTCTAAGATAGGGAAAACAGTGGAACCATCTCCAGTCATTGCACTGTTTGGTGTGGCCCCAGTAGAAGCCCCTCTTAATAGATGGGAAATCAACATGCTCACCTTCTACTGTCCTAGCCAGGAGACTGGTACTATTTCAATGGAAAGACCCTATCCCACTGTTGATAATACAACATTAAAGCGTATTAACAGTTCAACATTAAAAGCTAGAATTATGTCTGGGGGGCTGTCTTCCCACAGAATATTTTTAAGCATCAAACATCTTGGCTCTGTTTACACGACAACAATTTCAGCTGAAAACGGTAAAAAAAAAATTGCGTTTTGGTTGATGGTTTGCAAATTTTGTTCTGATATTGTTTTTTTTAAAACTAAACTAGTAGTGCCTTAAATAATAAGATTTGTAACAACTGTAGGTATAATAAGCTAAAGCTTCAGCCTAAACCTTTTCCGTCAAAATGTTCTTCTTGTCTTTTCATGAATGCACATGCCTTTGAAAATTTTGTATTTCTTTTTTTATTCTTGCATTTCTATGCATTTCCTAATGGAAAACTGTGTATGTTGACCGAAATAAATTACTACTACTACTACTACTACTACTACTACTACTATTACTACTGAATCAACAATGGAAGAAAGTAGTCAGAAAGTAGTCAGCTAACTACCGACAGCTGGCGCCTGTGGAAATCCCTGCTAGAATACGTCGGCATGCCAAAGCTTTTAATGAAAATGCTGAAACTAAGGCATGAGGGCATTGATTATGAAACTAAAACTATTTAAACGTAGGCTATATCGTACAAGATGTTGATGGAGAGGAAGAAAAACAGAAGACAGAGAACATTAAAGTACGCACAGAAAAAAAAACAGAACATTTGATCAGAAAACCTGCTGCTTGCAGTATTGGCCTAACTCTCAGATCGACCAGTAAGATGATTGAAATCCACTGCAGTCTGCTAACACCAGGGACACTGGAAGTCTTTTTTAGTTGGGGGTGCTGAGAGAAGTAAATCTATTTGATGACGTCATACTAAGTGCGGCGCAAAATCCCATTTTATTTATAATTTTGTAAATTCAGTATCAACAGCAGCTCATACAGATTAAACAACATTTCAACAGACATCAACCCTCACACTGAAAGTTAAGGAGTGGCTTAGGACCAGTTTATAGTCCCTCTCAAGTATGGACCCACTGTTATCTAGAAATACAGGTTTTTTACATAATGAGGGAGAGAAAATGGTGATCTAATGTTTAGTAAATAAACCTTAAGTGCAGTTTTAATGAAAAGACTCCTACATTCAAAACAACAGGTGAGCAGTGGAGCTGTGCAGCGTGTCTTTAGGCTAATTGGAAGAAGTCAGAAGTTGTTCTACCTCTGAATGCATGCACATCGATCAAGAAGCTTAAAATGGCTTTGAGTTGTATCACTCTGCAGGAGGTATTAAAAAACATGCATACTGTTTAGGCTGTAGGCTACTTTGAATGCTGCCGACAGGCCAGTCTTGTGTTGCGGCGGCCGGCGACGCCCCCGGCGGCCAGCAGCCGCAGCAGCCAAGACACAAGACCGGCCTGTTGGCAGCAACCGTCTCGCCGCTATATTTATATTTTTTCGCCATTATCAGCTTTCTCCGTAGATCCTGTTAGCATAGCTTCCAAGCAATATGTCAGACAGTCAAATATTAAAATAAATCAGATCTCACCGTAGAGATGTTTATTATCTTTAGTTCTATCGCGGGCCCATGTCAGCTTATCATCACAGCCGTTTGGCATCTGGTTATGACCGATCCCCACGATCTTATTCTCCTGGTTCACTATACAGGCGCCCACCTGCACACACAACACAGGTGCAACTGTTACAGACACTTTCTAGGTTAGTCTGAAAAAGACATTGTGTGTAGTGTGTATAAACGATAGAGACTACACACTACTCACACACACAGAGCTGTAAATCACCAGTTTCATCATGATACCGTATTTCAATTCTTTGGATAACGATTACATTTTTACTGTCACACAAAGTCCACAAATAGTAATTAATAGATACAATCAATTTATCGCTCAGTCACACTACTTTAGTGAAGGGTAGAAAGCAAGGGGTTACCTTTTTTTTTATCTGTATAGGATCTTGTATGGCGATCGTATACAGATTTTTAAAAAATCATGGGCGTTAAATAAATGTGGGTGTTCTGTCCAGGTGTAATCTATGTGGTGGGATTTACAAATTATAGAAGTATCTTTAAAATGATGATGTTGATCGATTTGATCGCTGTCAAACCAATCAGTGTATTGATCCAGATTGATGGATAGTTACACACACACACACACACACACACACACACACACCTGAGTATTGGGGTCTTTACTCCTCTTTGCAGCCAGTAAAGCCACAGCCATGAAGTACTTGGAATCCTTCAGGTAGTCGTCTCTCCTTTGGGTCAAAACAGATGTATAAAATACAAGAGGACATGAATCACACAGTCTGGATTCGTACCTTTTAATTCAGCTTGTCTGTATACCAGACAATGATTTGTGACAAAATAACCTTAAAACAGTCATCTAAAAAACAGTCATCTCATGAGAAAAAGCTTATGTGAATCATTTCCAGTAAAATCTTGTACATGTCTCCTCTCTAACAGGCACCAGGGGAGCACCCTGCAGTTTAATTAGGTTAATATTATATAAGATATAGAATATCTGTTGCCAGCTCTCACTCTAAAATCGTACATCTTGGTGAAGAGATGTGCGCTATTACTTTTCTTGGTGATAAAATGTTACAGTGATTTTATCACTCAATGTGTAACACCGCTGCTCAGGCACTCTAATGGTCTGATTCCGGAGACTTACGGGGTATCTCATTTATGATGGAAACATGTTCCTGTGGTGGTTAGAATTTGTATTAAGTTGTTTTAAGATGGAGATTTCATACCATTTAACCCTCAGGTGGTGCTGCAGAAACAATAATACACACTTATCTTTTGTTAGCTTATCTTTTTAAACTTGATGAAAAGCTTCTTTGACAAAATTTTCCAGAAATACTTGCATTTGGTTCTTATTGCTCCACCCTTTGGCTGCTTGTAATACACTTTTGGCTTTTAAGAGAAAGCTTAAATTGTATATTTAAGTTTAATATATAACAGAAAGGCTTTGTTGATGTTTTCATTTTTTCAAATCGAAACAATTTCTAGTATCTAGTAAAACTGGTTCTAAAACATTGCATAATGAACAGTAAAAAAACAAAACGTAAAAGTTCTATTAATAGCCAGACTTTTATTAACTTCAGTCTATGAAATGATCCTGCCTTTACTTGGGACAGGCGTCAATAAGAGACAGGACTTTGATTATTTTCCATAAAAAGTTGTGTACACCGAAGTTTAGAAAGATTATAAAATTGTAAATTTAGAGCAGAAATAATATTCAACCGTATCAAATGCTGTGCTGGTCTATGCTGGTTTTTACCCGGGTGTAAGAGCCATCCTTTTCCAGATCAAATCAAAGAGGTGAATCGATGTTGTCCCTGCTCCTCCTGCGATGTTGCTGTGTTTGAGTCAGACACTCAGCACTGTCTCTTATATATAGGTGCTATATCACGAGGTCATCATCTAGGCTATCATCGCTAGGTCACAGCGGGCGGAGTCTCAAGCGAGTGGATGCCAATAGTTAAACTGGAACTGTGAGTATTCCAGTTTCTGAGTTTTATATCCCTGATGTTCCTAGATGCCACAGGGCTAAAATAAAAAGTATATTTAAGGCGAAAATTGTGAATAAATGTGTGTCATTGACTATTTGAAGAGCCACAGTTACCTCAATGTTTGTCAATGTTTGCACAATCTGGGCAGGGCAGGTTGGTAAACACTGCAAATCAGTATGTAAATTAGCAATGCCTACATCCTCCTCTGTGACATCAGCTAGGCAAAACAAGTGAAGCCCATGACACACAAGGGCCCTTTTTCAAACCATCCCCTACACACTCCCCTCCAT